AGTTTGCAGACTGCTGTTTCAGAACATTGCCTTCTTGCATTGATGTTTTTTTATTTCCAATATAGATTTTGACTTGAAATGGTACTGTACAAAGAAGTTTACTGGAGTGTTTTACATTCAGATGCACCATGTTTTGGCTCTTTTAGTTATCTTCAAAGATTCAGTACTCACCTACCTTGCAACACATCTTTAATGGCTGGATCCGAAGGAACAGCTCTTTTCCCTTCTTTCAGGAAAATGATTGTTTGCAAATGCAACATACAGAATTAATTCGCATTATTTGGCACAGCTAATCAGAAGAAACTGAAAGGAGTTTTTTTGACACCATGGCCACTCTGTACTAAACAGTTTTAACAGGCATGCTTAATGATTACCCCACATTTAAGACTGCTGAATGCAGAACTGTGTTTAGCAATAGTTTATTACACATTGTGGGATCTTCACTACTTCTGCAGTTTTCATATAATTCTTCTTGTGAGGAAGGCATTTACCTGGCCGTAAATTAACCAACTACACGATGTTGTGGCACTGTGAAACTAAGCTGAAAAACCTCCTGTGGACAAACACAGAGACATTCAGCGAGTCCAGTGCAAGTTTGTAAGTGGCAGTGAAGCATAGACGTTACCTACTGACTCTGCTGGGATGCTGCCAGCTGTGCTTCTGTCTTCCATCCTCAAGACAAATTTGTAGTAGCTGAAGTTTCTCTTGGGTTTCACAAGATCCTGCTCGCATATGCCCATGAGAAATCAAGCCTTCCTTCACAGGCCTCCACTTTTAAAACTGTCTGAGAACTTGCTACAAAATGTAGAGGTATTGTGGGCTTCCTTCTTTGCACAGCTACTGCTTTTTATACAGCAGTAGGCTCCACCACATGCGTCTGCAGCTATTTCAGATTTAAGTTATATGCAATTTTAGAGGTACATCAATGATTCTCTTTTGTGTGGAAACATCTAGACAACAAACTGTTAAACTTTCCCATGTTTTTTCTCATTTTGTCCTACCTGTGCCTTGCTTATCCTGCTGGTTGAGTCGTATGTCACTGGGCACATAATAATAGAGAAGGAATATTGACACTTTTCTAGAAGATTGTAATCTTCTGATGTGTTGGGTTTTGTTTTGCTATTGTTTTATCTGGACAATGTGTTGATTTTGTTTAGGCCTACATAAATTCTATAAGTAAGCTAAAAGTAGAGTTTCTCTGATGTAATTACCGTGTCTGTAGGAATACTCTTCCTGAGCAAATGCCAAATGACAGGGAGCCCTATTAGCTCCTGGATCTCCTCACTTCATAGCTCTCCTCAGCTACTGACTCCGGATTTGGAATTGCAAGAAGTGCCCGGATCTACCCCAACTCTGAAGCTAAGAGAAAGCAGAAAAAAAGCCCCAAGAGAAGAATTTCCTATAACATGCAAGAGACTTCATATTTCAATGACTAGAATCAGTTGCAGTGGTTCTCATTTAAGCTATTATTCATGTAGTCGCGATGCTACGCGTAAGGCCTAGGACCTTCACAGATTTGTTGGATGTCATGTGTCCTGAATCGCACCAAGGCAGGTGCTTGGCTTGCCTGTCGTGGTAACTCCTGCAGTCCCCAGTCAGACTCCACGCCTGTGTAAATACAGATGGTACTTGCCCCAGAAAATTTATAATGTAACAAAACCTATGTTCATAGTACTGTCCGTAGACGCAAACGTAGACATGGCCACGTATTAAGCCTAGGTTTGACATGTTATCCTGAATGGGTTTGCTTCTTGTTGAAGGGAATCCTTTTTTTTTTTTTTTTTTTTTTCATGTCTTTGCACTTTTCAGGGAGAGATGCTTTGGGCTTTAGCACACACTGCTGCTTTCTAACTGGCCTGCTTCCCAAGCACTCTTGATTTTCATGAAACCACATCCTTCTCAGTCTCTCCATCATGAGAGGGCTCTTGTCACTTCTTCCCTGTTCAGCACTGGTTAGCCTGCTGCACTTAGCTCCTGCCCTCACCTGTGGAAAGGCTGCCTCTTCATGAGCTGCTCTCTGTGAGTTTTGCCCAGGGAATTGTTTCAGGAGCAGAACTGATGAGGCAGTGATGGAAGGAGGGTATGAATCCCTGCGAGGATCCTCCCACAATGCTCTCTCCCAGGAAAAAAAAAACATGGGTAAAAGTAAATGATGTAATAGCCTTTTCTGCCACAAAGTGGAAAGTGTAACTAAACCCTAGGGGACACAGATGTAATGTTGAAAAGGCAAAAACCTTAGCAAATCTTTAAGACACCTTGATAAAAATTAGTGGCTGAAAAATATATGTTGCAGAGTGGAAACATCAGTGACATGGGGCAATCAAAGTGTAAAGACAGCAGGTGAGGCACCAGCTTGGATTTGTTGAATTAAGCAGGCGTGTGGGCCAAATTAATTTCTGGTATAATCATATAAAGAACAGCAGCCCACCAGCTACCGAATTTGTCTAGAATTTCAGATCACAACAGATACAAAGGACAAAGAAAGACGTATTATTAGTGGTATATCAGCATACATTTGAGAGATACATTTGAGAGATTCTTATTAATATCTGTGAATTAAGGAATAAAACCACGATATAATGTAAAGGATGGGAATTAATAAATTAATGTATAAAACAGAGGTATATAATGTAAACCACTATTATAGTTGCAGTGCATGTCATACTAATAACTTTCACTGTTGATATTACTAATTGTGTATCTATTATCATTACCAATAGTTATTCATTTGCTCAGCTCTTACCCATAGCCTAAATAGGTTATAATATACTGTGTAACTTTTATACAGTTATACACAAGACTAGTGGAGAAAGCCTTTTGTCATGGCAAGAATAAGAATTTATGTATACATGTGCATACATGTGTCTGTAGGCATACATATAGTTTTTTCCCCTAGGGAGGTGACGAAAAAAATCATACAAATAGTTTCATAGCTTAATTTTATTTCCAGCAGCTTCAATAAAAGGAAAGAGAGAAGTAATGGTGACAGAAAAAAAAAAAAAAAGGGTCTATTTGCTGTTGTATTTGATTGCTGGAAAAAGACAAGTGAAATTTCTGTAGCTAATTTATTTTGCTACAGATGTTTCTAGTTGGTACAGCCACATCCTAAGCAGGGGCAATTGCCATAGTGCCATTGACTTTCAAGGAGTGATTCCTGCAGTGATATATTCTAAGAATCAAGGAACGTACTCAGGATTTTTTAGACTTCTGCAATAATAATGAAGAAACAATTCACCTTGTTGTTTGGTCAGCTGGGATCCCTTGTCTTGCCTGGGGAAAGAATCTGTTGTGGAGTTCCTAGTGTTCAATAAAGTTCTTAATTTAAATAGGGTGATGGGGGATGTAACAGAAGGGATACAAGAGCTATCAGTCTTCAAAGCATAGAATGCCGTTTGCTCTCAGCTTGATAACATATTAACAAGCAGTATGGCTCTGTGTCCAATTTACACACAAATCAGCTACAAATTCCGAAGTACTTTAGCATGGGATTATTTGATCCATAGGTGCCCATGACCTGTGGATTTCTAATAGTATCTGAAAATAAATGTAAAAATTCTGAGCGTGCTCTAACCCTACTTACATATGAATCCAACTATTAAGTTTTTAGGAAAGAGTTAATGAAAGGACACAAATATGTGCAGCTAGCAGAGAAAGGCACAGGCTAAACTTAAAGTCCACTGGACACCTGTAAAGAGATTTGTGGCTAACGAGTGCTTTGAAGTGTGCGACGTACCACTGACCGGTTGTGCCATTTGCTGACATGGGTGGAAGCAAGAAGTATGGCCTTTTGTTCTGCCATAGAACAAAGCTGATCATAATTGATTATGCCAAGCCAATGATAACTAATTATACCAACATAATAATTAGGCAAAATGCTCATTAACCTGGGCTGCAAGTGTACTTAGAATACCTGTTGTGATCTGGGACCCACCAAGACCTGGTTGCCATCAGGACCTCCGTAGTAACATATCTGACAGGTGAGCCCTGGTTTAACCGCAGTGATCTACCAGCTATCCACCTCGGATCCTCCTGGGAATGACCATTGCCTCCTTAAGAGCTTAAATGTCTCATCAAATGGGCTTGTGTTCAGGTTCTGGATTGTTAATTGCTGAGGCACTCTATTCTGGCACTCGTTTGGCAGGACAGAGCGGGACCAGCGTACGCACAGCTAGGTCCCTAGCCTGGCTACGGTCTGCAACTGGTTCTACCACAGCAGCCTGCTCAGGGAGAAAGAGGAGAAGAAAAATTAACTGGTCTCAGACTAACCCAAATACCGAAGGTATGTACTTTAGAAGTAAAAGAGCATTTTTTTTCATCCTAGGTATTAGCACCGTTGAAGACCATCTCAACCCATTCGGCACAAGACTTGAGCAGAATTTCTGACGGGCGGGCAATTCTACTGAAAATTCAGGTCCTTTTAGTCCCCTTGCCCCGCCGGCGTCGAACTCCCGATTCCCGCGGAGGGGACCACACGGGGTGCTGAGGAGGGCGCGCAGGCTGCGCGGCGGCGGCCCCCCGCCAGGGGGCAGCAGGAGCCCGCGGAAAAAGCGCTGCCCGGCGGCGCGGCGGGGGAAGGGACCGCTGCCCCGCGGCCGCCCCGGGTATAGCGCTCCCCCCACTTCGCTCCGCGGCGAGGGGGCCTGACCCTTCGGGGTTCCGCGGAGGGGGGGGAGCCGGCCCCGCGGGGGGTAGGGAAGGGGTGCGGGTCCGGGTTTAAACGGGGCTCGGGAAGCACGGTGGAGACCAGTCTTGCGCGTTAATCTGGTGCAATTAGCGCTATAACGCGTGCCAGCTCAACCCGCGCCAAAGACAAAGCGTTATGCAAATCGCCCTCCCCTTCCCCATCCCCCAGCTCCCGGGGTCTGACGCTGTTTTCCCAGCCTGTTTTTAATGATACGGTGCGCGGAGTAACTTAAAATTAATTATAAGGTTCTCGACTAAAAGGAAAGGGGGGAGGCGGTGTCATTAGGCGGGTTTGGTATTCAGAGCCGCGGCCACCTGCGCTTGGCGGCGGTGGCCGGCCAAGGGTGCTAAGCCGTAGTGACCGGGCTGCGGGGGCTGCTGCCGCTCCGGTTTTTTGGGGGCATCTGCGCGGGTCGGAGAGCCCAGCCAAGGTACGGTCCCCGGGCGAGCGG